GGGTTGTTCATCCAGTGATCCCACTCACCAACATTATATTAACGCTAAACGCTTTTGGGGAACGCATATTACACCTGCCTCATATGGCAAATATCTGCCTTAACCCACTCCGTTAAGACTTTTCAAATCATATATATATATATATATATATATATATATATAACTGAAAGCTCACACCCAGAAGTGACTCGAACTTATACTGTCAGAAGCAATGCATCTGATGTACAGGATCAATTAACCACTCGACCAACCTCGACCGTGTTGGTCGAGTGGTTAAGGTGTCCTGTACATCAGATGCATTGCTTCTCACAGTATATATATATATATATATATATATATATATATATATATATAATATATATTATATATATATATATATATATATATATATATATATATATTATCACCTGACCCAGTGCGGGTATAAAATCAACTAGTATTGTAAGATCTGTTCACTTGAGAATGAACCATGGAGGTTCGAAACGTTGTGCAAATTATATAAATAAGTGTAATACACTCTATAGTAAATCACTTCTTTTCTTCACCTCAAAAGTACGAAAATGAGTTTTGGAGAACTCCTATTTCAATTAAGCCCTGATGCTAAGAAAATAGTTAGAGGGATAGAAAGCCCTAAACCAGAAAATAATAAACACAGAATATGCGGTCATATTCAATGAAACATGTGTGAAAGAAAACCTGCTGCCAGTATACACCAATATATATATATATATATATATATATATATATTATATATATAATATATATATATTATATATATATATATATATATATATTTATATATATATATATATATATCTGCAGCAAGACACGACAGATATGTACCTCGTGTACATATCTGCAGCAAGACACGATGCAATCATTCCTACTCTGCCTTTGACAATGTTAACAAGAGTTAACGAAACGCAAATATTAACATCAGGCCAAATAAAACTAAAAAAATAAAGTTTGGTGAGTTAATTTTTCGACTTTCTTCTCAAGTGAAAAAAAAATGTAAGGAAAATAGAGTAGATTCGTGCTAGAATCATTGCCCTCACATTTTCACCACACCACCTTGTCTTACAGAGCGAGACAGTGAAGAGGGAGACATGATCACGACATACAACATACATACAAGACAAGCTTGTTACCGTGAATAGTGTACGATCGAAGGTGAAGAATATAAAGGAGATGAACCAGGAAGTAAAATTCTGGATGTGAAGCTTAAATGTTGACTGGAGGTTGAAACCCAGGGACCAAGAGCTTGAGCACAGCCGCCACATTCACAGCTTGATGTGTGTGTGTGTGTGTGTGTACTCACTTAGTTGTGCTTGCGGGGGTTGAGCTCTGGCTCTTTGGTCCCGCCTCTCAGCTGTCAATCTACTGGCGTACAGATTCCTGAGCCTACTGGGCTCTGTCATATCTACATTTGAAGCTGTGTATGGAGTCAGCCTCCACCACATCACTGCCTAATGCGTTCCATTTACTAACTACTCTGACACTGAAAACATTCTTTCGAATGTGTCTGTGGCTCATTTGGGTACTCAGTTTCCACCTGTGTCCCCTTTGTGCGTGTACCACCCGTGTTGAATAATCCGTCCTTGTCTACCCTGTCAATTCTCCAGAGAATTTTTGTATATGGTGATCATGTCTCCCCAGCCTCTTCTGTCTTCTAGCGATGTGAGGTGCAGTTCCCGCAGCCTTTCCTCATAACTCATGCCTCTTAGTTGTGGGACTAGTCTAGTGGCATACCTCAGAACTTTTGCCAGCTTCGTCTTGTGCTTGACACGGTACGGGCTCCATGCTGGGGCCGCATACTCCAGGATTGGTCTTACATATGTGGTATACAAGGTTCTGAAGGATTTCTTACACAGATTTCTGAAAGCAATCCTGATGTTAGCCAGCCTTGCATACGCCGCTGATATTTTTATTTTGATGTGGGCTTCAGGAGACAGGTTTGGTGTGATATCAACTTCTAGATCTTTATCTCTGTCCGTTTCATGAAGTACGTCTTCTCCCATTCGGTATCCTTTGTCTGGCCTCCTATATCCACAGCCTAGTTTCATTACCTTACATTTACTTTGGTTGAACTTTAATAGCCATATGTTGGACCATTCCTTCAGTTTGTCTAGGTCATCTTGTAGCCTCATACTATCTTCCTCTGTCTTAACCCTCCTCATAATTTTTGCATCATTAGCAAACATTGAGAGGAACGAGTTTATTCCCACTGGGAGGGAATATTCCGTGTGTGTGTGTGTGTAATTGCCTAAGTGTAGTTACAGAATGAGAGCTACGCTCGTGGTGTCCCGTCTTCCCAGCACTCTTTGTCATATAACCCATATAACGTGTGTGTGTGTGTGTTTGTGTGTGTGTGTGCGTGTGTGTGCGCGCGTGTGTGCCCGCGTGTATGCACGTACCCACACACACACACACACACACACACGTGGACATGTATTTCGAGAGATGACTATTGATCAGAATACGGGACGAGACGACCAGGCCTTGTTACATGGTTGCAAGGGGGGGGGGGCAGTAGGATGTCTGAGTCAGGATTCACCATTTACACATCCACTTTGCGCGAAACCTGTACATCTTTTCTCAATCTTTAGCGGCGTTGTTAGCATATATTAAACACTTTATGAGCTCGGAAGCACCAGGAAGCTTTTTTTATGACAATAACAACATTTGCTTTGAAAGTTTCGATGCTTGTAAACTGTTTAAAAAAGGTAAACAAGGCCGCCAAAGAGTGAGAAAAGATGCACAGGTTTCGCAAGTAGATGCGTCAATGGTTGTTGAATCCTGCAGGTCCTATTGGACTTTAGATAGTTCCTAACTAATAACTAACTAATAACTAATTTAGATAATTTAGATAATAAGGGTGGTCAGTAGCTGGCATAGTAGATAAAACACACACACGCACGCACACACGCACACACACCACACACACACACACACACACACACACACACACACACACACACACACACACACACACTCACACACACACACTGGTGGAGGCTGACTCCATACACAGTTTCAAGTGTAGATATGATAGAGCCCAGTAGGCTCAGGAATCTGTACACCAGTTGATTGGCAGTTGAGAGGCGGGACCAGAGAGCCAAAGCTCAACCCCCGCAAACACAAATAGGTGAGTACACACCCACCCACCCACCCACACACAAACACACACACACACCCACACCCCACCCACCCACCCACACACCCACACACCCACACCCACCCACCCACACACACACCACACACACACACACACACACACACACCACACACACACACACACACAACACACACACACACACACACACAATAACAGCTTGAAGACATAACGAGGACATAACGCGTCCTGGACGGGTCGCACAAGGGTCCAAGAGACACTCCCACACTGCACCAACCGGCAGTTAGAGAAGGAACAACAAATGAGAGGAGAGAGAATGCATCTCAAATATACAACAAGATCCGCGGGTGCGTTCACAGGGCAAATTTGTATTCAGGTGGGACGTGTCTGAAGCAGGTGAACGCGGCCACGCGACAGAGTTTGGACGGATAGAGAATGGCAGGCCGTACGTGTGTGTGTGTGGGGGGGGAGGGGGGTACGTGTGTACTGGGGGGAGGGGGGGGTACGTACCAGCCGTACGTGTACGCACCAACGCCACCTCTGGGGCGCTGGTGGTTGAATGGACAGCACGCTGGATACGTAGTCCTCTGGTCCGGGGTTCGATTCCCGGCGCCGCAGGAAACAAAAATGGGCAGTTTCTTTCACTCTGTTACCTAGCAGTAAATAGGTACCTGGGAATTAGACAGCTGTTACGGGCTGCTTTCTGTGTGTGTGTGTGTGTGTGAAAAAAGAAATAGTAGTTAGTAACAGCTGATTGATTGACAGTTGAGAGACGGGCCGAAAGAGCAGCGCTCAACCCCCACAAGCCCAACTAGGTTAATACAACTAGGTGAATACATAGTCCCCACCTGAAGAAAGACATAAGGAAACTGGAAAAGGCTCAGAAGTTTGGGACGAGGCTCGTCCCAGAGATACGAGGGATGGGATATGAAGAGCGCCTGAAGGAACTGAACCATACGACACTAGAAAAAAAAGAAGGGAGAGAGGGGATATGATCGGAACGTATAAAATACTCAGGGGAATTGACAAAGTGGAAATATATGAAATGTTTACACGTAATATTAACAGAACGAGGGGACATGGGTGGAAGCTGGAAACTCAGGTGAGTCACAGAGATGTTAGGAAGTATTCTTTTATCGTGAGAGTAGTGGAAAATGGAATGCACTTAAGGAACAGGTTGTGGAAGCAAACTCTATTCCTAAGGTTAAAACTAGGTATGATAGGGAAATAGGACCGAAGTCATTGCTGTAAACAACCGTTGGCTAGAAAGGCGGGATCTAAGAATCAATGCTCGATCCTGCAGGTACAAATAAGTGAGTACATACTTGTTCATGATTTTTGTGAGACCAAAATTGGAACATGCAGCAGTTGTGTGGTGCCCACATCTCAAAAAAACACATAAATAAACTGGAAAAAAGAGGAAACAGAGAGGCAATGGCATGCTACAAAATGTCTTCCGGGGTTTGGGCAAAATGTGACCCATCGCCGTTTTCAGTAATTGGCATATTTTCGGTATAAAAAGTCGTAATTTCAAACTACAAATATGTGCAGAGAGCCAGAATTCGGCTCTAAAATAACGCTCATGAGTCAAATTTACGATATTTCTGATATTTTGAAAACTGCAGGAACGTTTGGGCAGCCAGGCAGATCAGGCACCGTCAAGTGTTATCTTGAGGTTATCTTGAGATGATTTCGGGGCTTTAGTGTCCCCGCGGCCCGGTCCTCGACCAGGCCTCCACCCCCAGGAAGCAGCCCGTGACAGCTGACTAACACCCAGGTACCTATTTTACTGCTAGGTAACAGGGGAATAATTGGGTGGGAATGTGGGAATAATTATTGATTTACTGGCAAATGGAGACACGATGAAGATATTGAAGGATGAATGTAGGATGAAGGATGAATGTAGGATGAAGGATGAGTGTAGGATGAAGGATGAGTGTAGGATGAAGGATGAATGTAGGATGAAGGATGAGTGTAGGATGAAGGATGAATGTAGGATGAAGGATGAATGTAGGATGAAGGATGAGTGTAGGATGAAGGATGAATGTAGGATGAAGGATGAGTGTAGGATGAAGGATGAATGTAGGATGAAGGATGAATGTAGGATGAAGGATGAATGTAGGATGAAGGATGAATGTAGGATGAAGGATGAATGTAGGATGAAGGATGAATGTGAATGAATGAATGCTACCGAGAGCTGTTTTGTTACCTAAATAGTGCATTTGTAGGACAGTGAGAGGGTGTGTGGCCGTGTATGTGTGGGATACTGGAATATGTGTACTGGAACACATGATACATAACCTAGTGGTGAGACTGTGTTACCTCGTAGCTTGCAGAATACATACCTCCTCTCATTGTGCTGAGCCACACCTCTAGTGGTCGGTACAAGAGCCACACCTCTAGTGGTCGGTACAAGAGCCACACCTCTAGTGGTCGGTACAAGAGCCACACCTCCAGTGGTCGGTACAAGAGCCACACCTCCAGTGGTCGGTACAAGAGCCACACCTCCAGTGGTCGGTACAAGAGCCACACCTCTAGTGGTCGGTACAAGAGCCACACCTCTAGTGGTCGGTACAAGAGCCACACCTCTAGTGGTCGGTACAAGAGCCACACCTCTAGCGGTCGGTACAAGAGCCACACCTCTAGTGGTCGGTACAAGAGCCACACCTCTAGTGGTCGGTACAAGAGGAGGAGGAGAAGGAAGAGAACTAATAATGACGAGGGAGAGTGTGAATAACACTAGAGAGAAGAAGAGGAGAAGCAACAGTAGAGGAGAGAGCTGGTAGAGCAGGTGGAGACGTGTACAGGCCATGATATACACTTGAGTAAGGAGGAGCAGCTGCTCTCTAGTGAAAATAATTGTATGGACCTCGATAGTTGGAGAATGAGGAGAGGGGGAGGTTATTCACGGCAGGTGGTGGTGGCCAGGTGGTGAGGGAGAGACAGGTGGTGGTGGCCAGGTGGTGAGGGAGAGACAGGTGGTGGTGGCCAGGTGGTGCAGGAGAGACAGGTGGTGGTGGGCAGCTGGTGTGAGAGAGACAGGTGGTGGTGGGCAGGTGGTGAGGGAGAGACAGGTGGTGGTGGCCAGGTGGTGCAGGAGAGACAGGTGGTGCTGGCCAGGTGGTGTAACAGCATAAAAACATCAATAAGATTAACCTGACGTGTTGACAGGTAATCAAGTATCAACTACAGGTGTGATACTCCAAGAAGGTCACCTGTCACCTCCTGGATAAGCTGGTAACCTTGAAGACACGACAGTTCTTGTCCGTTCGAGCCCCAGGAGGGTGAAATTAACTCGTCAATATTCATGTCATTGTACTTCAATATTTCTCAATTGCATGGGACGTGACATGACAACATTTCCCTCTATTATACATAAACTTTTTCTCTCTCCATAAGTTGCTGTTATCGCATATATATGTGTCTTTATAAGGCATTAAAACATGAACCTCGTATGACATGTCTGAGCCAATGGTGGCAGGTGACATTATAACAAGATGCTATTGGTCGAGAGAAGAAATATCAGCCAATCAGGGTGGAACTCAGTCATATAAGACGAGAGCCCTTGCGTCTGATTGGCTGTCGAGGGCTCACTCTCAACAGCCCAAACCTACTCAATAGCCACTCTCAGAAAGTTATGAAATTGGTCCATAGTTGATGGTACGACAACTCGGAATTAAATGGCGGCTAATATGTTTCTGAAGCTGTTTACAGGAGGTGTTTCTGAAAGCTATTTGGCAATTAATTAACTATTACTGCTGTTGACTGTCGTTGTTTAGAGAAGACTGCGAGGGAGTGTCTCTTGCTGAGGTGGAGTGATGAGTAGTGTGTGGTCGTGTGCTGCTGGTGTGGTCGTGTGCTGGTGCTGGTGTGGTCGTGTGCTGGTGCCTGGTGTGGTCCAGTGCTGGTGCCTGGTGTGGTCGTGTGCTGGTGCCTGGTGTGGTCCAGTGCTGGTGCCTGGTGTGGTCGTGTGCTGGTGCCTGGTGTGGTCGTGTGCTGGTGCCTGGTGTGGTCCAGTGCTGGTGCCTGGTGTGGTCCAGTGCTGGTGCCTGGTGTGGTCGTGTGCTGGTGCCTGGTGTGGTCGTGTGCTGGTGCCTGGTGTGGTCCAGTGCTGGTGCCTGGTGTGGTCCAGTGCTGGTGCCTGGTGTGGTCGTGTGCTGGTGCCTGGTGTGGTCCAGTGCTGGTGCCTGGTGTGGTCCAGTGCTGGTGCCTGGTGTGGTCGTGTGCTGGTGCCTGGTGTGGTCCAGTGCTGGTGCCTGGTGTGGTCCAGTGCTGGTGCCTGGTGTGGTCGTGTGGTGCTGGTGTGGTCCAGTGCTGGTGCCTGGTGTGGTCGTGTGGTGGTCCACACATCCCCCAGGCACCTCCACACCCCCAGGCACCTCTACACATCCCCCAGGCACCTCTACACATCCCCCAGGCACCTCCACACATCCCCCAGGCACCTCTACACATCCCCCAGGCACCTCCACACCCCCAGGCACCTCTACACATCCCCCAGGCACCTCTACACATCCCCCAGGCACCTCCACACATCCCCCAGGCACCTCTACACATCCCCCAGGCACCTCCACACCCCCAGGCACCTCTACACATCCCCCAGGCACCTCCACACATCCCCCAGGCACCTCTACACATCCCCCAGGCACCTCCACACATCCCCCAGGCACCTCTACACATCCCCCAGGCACCTCCACACCCCCAGGCACCTCTACACATCCCCCAGGCACCTCCACACATCCTCCAGGCACCTCTACACATCCCCCAGGCACCTCTACACATCCCCCAGGCACCTCCACACCCCCAGGCACCTCCACACCCCCAGGCACCTCTACACATCCCCCAGGCACCTCCACACATCCCCCAGGCACCTCCACACCCCCAGGCACCTCTACACATCCCCCAGGCACCTCTACACATCCCCCAGGCACCTCCACACATCCCCCAGGCACCTCTACACATCCCCCAGGCACCTCTACACATCCCCCAGGCACCTCTACACATCCCCCAGGCACCTCCACACATCCCCCAGGCACCTCCACACATCCCCCAGGCACCTCTACACATCCCCCAGGCACCTCTACACATCCCCCAGGCACCTCTACACATCCCCCAGGCACCTCCACACATCCCCCAGGCACCTCTACACATCCCCCAGGCACCTCTACACATCCCCCAGGCACCTCCACACATCCCCCAGGCACCTCCACACATCCCCCAGGCACCTCCACACCCCCAGGCACCTCTACACATCCCCCAGGCACCTCTACACATCCCCCAGGCACCTCTACACATCCCCCAGGCACCTCTACACATCCCCCAGGCACCTCTACACATCCCCCAGGCACCTCCACACATCCCCCAGGCACCTCCACACATCCCCCAGGCACCTCCACACATCCCCCAGGCACCTCCACACATCCCCCAGGCACCTCTACACATCCCCCAGGCACCTCTACACATCCCCCAGGCACCTCTACACATCCCCCAGGCACCTCTACACATCCCCCAGGCACCTCCACACCCCCAGGCACCTCCACACCCCCAGGCACCTCCACACCCCCAGGCACCTCCACACATCCCCCAGGCACCTCTACACATCCCCCAGGCACCTCTACACATCCCCAGGCACCTCTACACATCCCCCAGGCACCTCCACACATCCCCCAGGCACCTCCACACATCCCCCAGGCACCTCCACACATCCCCCAGGCACCTCCACACCCCCAGGCACCTCCACACATCCCCCAGGCACCTCTACACATCCCCCAGGCACCTCCACACATCCCCCAGGCTCCTCCACACATCCCCCAGGCACCTCCACACATCCCCCAGGCACCTCCACACCCCCAGGCACCTCCACACCCCCAGGCACCTCCACACCCCCAGGCACCTCCACACACACCCCAGGCACCTCCACACACACCCCAGGCACCTCCACACATCCCCCAGGCACCTCCACACCCCCAGGCACCTCCACACATCCCCCAGGCACCTCTACACATCCCAGCATAAGCAGCGCACCCATATGCAAATATACAGACCTTAGGAAAGTGAATGAAGAGTCTGCAGATCTTAATGCCGCGGCCACCATCAATACTTGGTGCAATTTGTTCTTGCTTGGCAACATTTGTTTAGAAGTGGCGGCAAGAGGAGGCGAGTCACGAGACGCACGAGTCACGAGACGCACGAGTCACGAGACGCACGAGTCACGAGACGCACGAGTCACAAGATCAATAAACAATTACCCCAGAGCTAACAACTTGATCCCCGTCCTTCATCAGCGCAAAACCCCCGTGACAGACCTACGAGTCCCAGTGACGAGACTCGAACTAGGAACCGGAGTGACCAACAAAACTTGAAGAGTAGGACATAGTAGGGACAATCTCAATCGACTTGAGAATGGTCCAGGATGGACCGAAACGTCGTCGTCCCTTCAACTTCTAGTGTGTGGTCTGGTCAACATACTTCAGCCACGTTATTGTGACTCATCGCCTGCATAGTAGGGACAATTAGGTTACTCACCAGTCAAGACACAATCGCATCTAGAAATACCGCCACAGCCGACTGACTGAGAGAGAAGCACCCTCCCAGATCGGCATGTGAACCCACTTCTTGGGACAGAAATGTCCCAGACTTGGGACGTTTTTCTTCAAGAGCCAGAGGTATACAAAGCCATCATGTCATTTCCGCCAGGCCCAACAGGAGGATACACTGGAGTAGGACCTCAGCACCTCAAGGAGATGGTAAACCCAGTTCTCGGCGAAGTTACCAAGACACTACTGTCAGAGGTCACGAACTTTGTCAACAATTGCCTCTCCGGGCTGATCCCAGACATAATTAGACCTTTTAGAGCACTCATTTGTGCCCTAAAGAAGGTGTCCGATACACCGGTGTATCTGCGGCTATGCATCGGCAGACCAATATGATATCCATGGTCTCATCTGTCTCATGTCTCCGGGAAAGATTGCTAAACATGAAGCAATCAATGCCGTGAACAAAGCCACAAGGGCCGAGACGAAGATTCGAACCTGCGTCCAGGAGCATCCCAGAACATCTCAGTTCACCCTTAATCGACTGAGCTACGACAGTGTCTGAGATGTTCGAATGCTACGATTAAGGCAGTGTCTGGGATGCTCCTGGACGCAGGTTCGAATCCTCGTCACGGCCCTTGTGGATTTGTTCATTTGATCACGTTAGTGTGATCTCTGTGTCCAATCAATGACATCATCAAGAGAAGTTTGGCTACACCTGTGTGTCCAGCAGAAAGGGAACCTCAAACGTACAGACCTGATAACAGTCACAGACGCCCAGATGGAGTCACCCTGCAGCCATGGAGAGATGTTAATAGGTCGTGTGGGACTACACTTGTCCTCTACATTGGCTGATACGTGTCTACCTCCTACAAGCTGAGGGAGGCGGGGCGGACACCTTTAGGGAGACCCAGAATACTAATAAGAACACGAAGCCTCGAACATTGTTACAGGTTCGTGCCAGTAGATTCTGAGACCCTGGGTGTCTGGGGTAAATGTGCACTTAAGTTCCTAACGGAGATGGGAGAGGAACTCATTAGGCAAACTAGAGACTCGAGAGCGGGCAGTTTCCTGCTCCAGCGCCTCAGTGTTGCGATCCAGAGAGGGTATGCCTGCTGTATGTTGGGTACACACCCCCACCTGGGGACTGATTCACGAAAACACTTACGCAAGCACTTACGAACGTGTACATCTCTCCTCAATCTTT